CAACAATGTAAATTTTTACTTTGAGTTCCCGTTAGGTAATAATACCAGGTAAACATGTGTAAAACCTGTTTCGCAAAGTCTCACGTGGACACACCCATCAGGGATTTGCTCCTAGATCAACAAAAGAAAAACCAGGACCAGGTAGAGAAGGTACGTAGAGGCAACGTTAAAGAGCTGTTGTTTTGGCTGCAGGCTACTGCGCCTGGAGTTCGCCAGGTTTCTGCAAAAACAAGACTTCGATCAACTGAAACTAGCAAAAATATATATGGGAAAATTTTCCGACTAGAGCAGTGTAGACAGACGCTGGACAGAAGGGGAGGAGAGAAGGCAATCAGACTGTTGAATGCACCTCTTTGTAACCTGTCATGGGACTTCAGAAAGGCTAAAAAGATCATCCTCTTCTCCTGAACGTGATCTGTGAGGCAGTTTTAAAAAGGAGACAAGAAATTATTACGACAGAAATTTTGTGAAAGCAGAAAACAAGAAGTGCAGGAAAAAAGATGCTCACTTTTTTTCCCCACTTAGTCACAAACGTAAGAACTATATCCAAGGTGAGCTTACTTTGGTTTTAATGAAGTAAAAACAGCAACCGATTATTTCTCATTCGCGGATTTAAAGTTTGACTTACAAGGTCCTCTCATTAATCGATGAGATGTCCAATAAATTTTAAGAATATGTAACAGAAATTTGATTGTAGGAAATCCTAGATATCAAACAAAAGGTGCTAAATATTTATATCCGCTGCCACTTAGACAAAACAACAGGAAAACAAAGTAAACCATTGTCAATTCATGGTTCATTTATTCTCATCTTAAATTTAATCAATTCTAATATTTAAATAATAAATCAGCTTTCAGCAGTCCCTGCGATCCATGAGCAGGGAATATTTAAAGTACCTTAAGTGCACATATTGAAACTTACAACAGAAAATAAAGACTACTGTATTTACTGCCTGCGAATTAAAAACAGGAATTGCAACAAAGGGAAACTCTCTACCAGCTGCTTACTTATTGGACTCTCTAAACCATTTCCAAAAAAACACAACACTATTTGGATGCTACTCTATATTGACTAGAGTCTGCATAAAACTGTGCCCTGCCCAAAATATAAATATTATTTCCTTATATAAAATCTTAAAACTGTAATAATTTTGTAAAAGGAGACGTAATTTCAGCAGGAAGCATAATCTAATACTCAGTGCAGCGGGGGCACGTTTCAGCAAACTTAAGAAACTACCAGGACGTCTAAATCTCCATCTGTTCACCAAGTTAAACCCCTACCAGCACAATCCGCCCGCAGCGCCACGCTCATACCCTTTACTTGTTCTGTAAATGAGTACGTTTTACAATTTACCTACTCTGAACTGTAAATTCAGCCCTGTCTACATGTTGTTCCAACATGTCCCTACAGATTCATGTGAAACTAGCCCCACCTGACAGGTCAGTTCGTCTTTGAACGTGTCCCAGAGTTGAGACAGTTTCAAGGCATCGCCACTGAGCTGATTACTGTCAGTGGAGGTGCAGCCGACAAAAGCACGACAAGTTATCCCGACATTGTGCCACGCAAGGCCGGCTTGTTCACAGACACAGGATAAACCTCATGAAGAAAAACTAACAGATGTTACACTGACAGCTAAAAATAGACTAAAAGGTCTGTTCACGGACTCATCCCTGACTGGAATATACAGTGACAGGAAAGGGGCATTCAAACGTGTAGAGGCATTCAGGGGCTTAGTTGTGAGCTTGTAATGGTAATGCCACTCATTGTGCAGTCGGCGCTCCTGCTCTGAACTCTGCGTGGGTCTGACCCTTTCGTGCTGCTTCCCTCGCTGAAGCCCCGCCGACTCCGAGGACCAGAGAGAGGGCCCCGTACGCTTCGTGTCTGCACGCTACACATTTACTGTGACCACACGAGACATGCTGTCACAACGCATTTACGTCTCTGGGGCGAAGGAAGTCCCGCACCGAAAGACGGTGTCGGTTAGTTGTCCGTTCTGAGATATTCGAGTGTACGGGCTCTTTTGAAATCAGAGAGCTTTTGGTTTGATTATACACGTGATTCGTCAAAGCAGGTCCCAGGTTTTGGCAAAGACTAATAATTAAAGTGAAGATAGGATAAATGTTAAGCAGCAGCTAAAAGTGTGTTTAGACCTGCTTGTAATAATTAATGAGAAAGCCTGCAGGCAATTCTTGAGTAGTTTTATGTTTAATTTATGGAAGGGAGGGAGGAACAACTTTATTAAACTACATTTATAGCATTTGGCAACTGAATTCCTCAAATACCACTTGTATGGGTGGCTCTGGACTAAAGTTGGTGTCGCTCTTATGGTTTAAGTAGGAGCTTTGTCCATCAAAACACTTCAACACTGAATCAAGTGCGGTAATAAATGTGCCTGCTGCTAAAACAAACAAAAAAATCTGTTCTAGTAAGGATTTCCAGAAGGTAGTCATTTGCCAACACTTCTTTCAGTTTCCGCTGACCTTAAAGTGTTAAGGCTCTTCATTAGCAAACGTGCCACTTGTCCCTTTCACCACAATGCTAAGAAATGTGAGAGACTGGCGGCATCTACAACTGGTCAGCCTGTTCATTCAGACTCCCTGCCAGATCCTGATCACAGCCAGCACAATGTCCGAGAAATGAACAATGCCACGAACTAAATAAAACCAGGGGGTTTGTTCCACTGGACTGGATTGGAGAGCTTTAGGGGAACACAGACCAACTATCCTTGTCTTAAAATAAACTGGGTTAGACCAGGAGAACTTTTGTCATATTTCAAATTTTAGGATCGTGGGTGGGGAGGGCTTTACATGTCATTCCACACATGCCTCTATACACAAGATCCAAACTGGATGGCTCTTAACTGACCCCAACAAAGCGCTCAACAACCATGCTCCATCTTACACTAAAGATCTCACTGTTCCATATTTATCAAATATATAAAGGCTTGATTCTGGTTTCCTAAACCATCCCATATTTATACGGTTATACATTATATTTCCTCACTCTGCTGCTGCCTTTATTCTCTCTTCTGTCCGTGTTTGTATTTGCAGTTGCTGCTTTTGTTAATGTGTATTTCTTTGTTTTTCTTCCCACAGAAACTACATTTGAATTGGTTCTTATGTGCTTAGTCAGTGTCTCTTTCCCAACCGCTGGCCAGTCGAGGCTGATGATGGCGGCTCATCCCGAGTCTGGTTTTGCTCAAAGTTTCTTACTGTTAAAAAGGGAGTCACTTCTTCCCACTATTGCCTAAGCGCTAAGACTGACACAAAGAAGATTTGACACAACTTGCTGGATTCCTTTACCATAACTTTTACTAACTTTTTCTTGAATTCTCCCCCTAGGATTATAAAGTAAGTACCGGTAAGTATCATTCTATCAAAAATATCTAGCTATAGCACATATGTCAAACTCAAGGCCCGGGGACCAAATGTGGCCCTTGTTGACATCTTATCTGGCCCCCAACATAAGTTAATGTAGATTCTGAAACTGGCCCTTAGTTTGAAAAAGGTTTTAATTTTGGCTCCCTTTTGTAAGCGAGTTTGACACCCCTGATCTATAGTATCTTTCTATAGTACCTATCTACCTAAAGTATCCATCTAAAATCTCCCCCTCTTTCTCTCTCTAAAATATCTATAGCATATATCTATAGTATCCATTTATATTATCTATGCAAGTATCTATCTATCTGCCTATTTACAGTATCTATCTTCCAAAGTATCTATCTAAAATCTCTCTCTAAAATATCTATAGTATCTATAGTATTGATGATATCTATCCATCTATGCAGGGGTGACTATTGGGACTATTTCAGGGATTTGCCTGCTTCAACTCACATGATTTAAATGAGTTGGTTATTTACAGGTTTTTGGAAAACTTGTTGGCATATTGTAGAGGTACCAGTAATTGAGCCATTTAAATTAGGAGTGTAGGACAGCGTCTCCGGAGTACCAGAGTTTGACACCTGTGATCTTAAGTACGTACGTAAGTAAGTATCTATCTATTTATCCAAAGTATCTATCTATCCAAGTATCTATCCAAAGTATGATATCCATCTACGTATCCATCCATTTATCTAAAGTATCTGTCTAAAGTGTCTATCTAGCTAAGGATCTATCCATCTATCTAAAGTATTTATATAAGTATCTATCCAAAGTATCTATCTTTCAGATTCAGAGATTCTTTATTGTCGTTCGCACCACGTGTTGTACATATGGTGGAGCGAAATTATGTACACAGGGTCCCAGTTACATCCAACAATAAAATGTAAAAAAAAAAAAAACAGTAATAAGATCAAAGATATGAACTAAGAAAAACAACTAAATATACACTAAGCACTAATAGCATAAAAACAATTAACAATACGCCGAACAGCAGCACGAACATGAGTCTGTGTGAACAGATGAGCATGAATGAACACAGCAACATGGAACAGATCAGCAGCAACATGGAACAGATCAGCAGCAACATAATGTGATTTTTCACGGTGATTATCCTGGTTAGAGATTCATGAGTCTAACAACCTCATGGTCTATCTAAGTATCTATCCATCCATCCATCTAAAGTATCTCTCTATCTAAAGTATCTATCATTTCATAATGTACCAGCTGTTTTAGTGTGGGTCGGTGAATCAAAACATGCACTTTATTCACACTGCTGTCCTAATATGCTCATTCTTCTTTCCAGTTTCTTCACAAATAATCAAGTCTTAGGAAATCCTAGTCAGGCAGAAAGTTATAACACAACTGGCTTTGTTTGGTGGAAAGTACCTCAGAATCAAATGGGTGTAACACTAGAGGAACTTCGTAACCCAAGGTCCTGATACAACTGCAGGGCATGTGGTCAAAGTTGATAAGTTTAAAGCTTCTGAGGAGGAAGGGACCTTTACTGGGGAAGTATCGGTCAGGTGATATCACTGCCTGAACAGGTGAACAAAACTCGAGTGCGAGCAGGTGGGGTGTGTGTAATGTGGCCTCCTCCTGTCAACACAGGTCTCCACGTACCTTAGGCAGCTCTTTGAGTTGGTTGGAATCGAGGAGAAGCTCCTCCAGGCTGCGGCTGTAGCGGAATATCTCATCAGGGACTGTTTTCAGGTTGCAGTGCCGCTTGTCCACCGACTCGACGTGGCGGTTGCAGCGCCACAGTGGGATACACTTCAGCATGTCCGGCCGCCGTGCAGGGTTCGCTCCCCGGTGCTACTGAAACCTCCGCATTAGAGGGTGTAGAAGGTCGCTGGGGGAGTATCACTCAATGTCAAAACACCTACTGTGTGTTCCCACGATGATCCGAAACAGGAGGCCGAAATCCACTTAAGAGACACAAAATAATCCCTTCGATCTGTCACCGATATATATATATTCCCAGTCTCGGCTCATTGGACTTGTTTTTTATGGTTGTCGGGCTCGTCCCAGCCGTCATCCGGCCCGGAATTGCAATTAACATAAACAAAACTGAGCACTCCCACTGGGCTCAAAGTGTTTCCTCACTTTCTTGCGCTCACTTTTCCGCGCAGAGCAATGTTAGCCTGTTTTAGCACCATCCTCAAAATCAGCCCGAAGCTCCGCCGAGGCTAGCCGCCGTGACATCCGAGCCCCAGAGGCGGAGCAGAAAAGCCGCTTCAACTATCGCAGTCATGAGTGTTGACAGAGAACTGACGCTTTAGTCATTAGGTCGTAGATACACAGCTACGAGCAAGAAGCGAACACCTTACACGACGCGAGTCAGCGGAGGTTATCCCGGTGTGTAACGATGCGCTCGTCGTCCTCGGCGGGTGTTAGCAGGCTAGTTGTTAGCCAACATCGGCTCGCTGGACGTTTGTGCCAACACGGGTTCAGTAAAACACATTTAAAAACACCGGGAAACCATTTGTAGCAGCGACATCCCTAAAATAATTAAAAATAACCAGCGTTCGTTTGATCCCACGGCGGTAAAATCCCAGCAGTGAGAATGGGAGCTTCGGCAACAACAGCGCTTACCTCCCCTATGGAGTCAAGGCAGGCCGGTTTGGCGTGTGGGGGGCTGGGCTAAGCTCGAGCTGGAGCACCGCCGCTTAGCGGCTCTACAGCAGAGGCCAAGCGTTACTTCAGAGCGCCACCTACCGGCCAAACAGGGTATTCCACATTAATACACTGAATAAGTCCTGATGCTCATCCAGGATGCATTCAAAATGACTAAAAGTCTTCAAAATGTGATCAAAAATTAGAAAATTTTATATAAAACTAATTACAAACAGTAATTTTGGTGTCTTCATAAAAAAGGACATCTGTAGAGGAACACATGTGAAACATGCCCAGCTGATTTACATTAGCCTGTTAACTACTGAACAACTAAAACTTAAGATAAAACTATTTATCCCGCAGGAACTTGTTGAAACTTGCACATTTTTATAGTAGAAATTAAAAACTTTAAGCCACCTTTGAAAATGTTTATTTTAAAAAGTATTAGCTGCTACATAATTACTCAGCAATGCAAATATTGGCCATTGAATTATCCTTTTAAAGTATCAAGCAAAGGTTCTCTAGTTAATAGTTATGGATTATAAATTAAAGTGATTTATGTGAATTGTCAAGTCTTTTAAAAGAAATTCAAGTCTATAATTTTTTTTTCGGGGATTTTAATTTTACATGTGATGAGCTAAGTTTCAGCCATCTCTTTGCACGTTATAAACATTTAATGTTTAGGAAAAAAAATTCTTTAAGTAATAGACCATCACGTACCTAGGAATTCTGATTAGTTCAGTTTGTAGAGCATGACTAATATACAAACACATGATTTGCTGAAAACTAAGATTCATCTCAAAGCACCTCTCATCCAAAATGGTTTTACTTTTTTCCCCCAATACACCAGAAAAAGAAACAATACAAACTCAGAAAATGTGTTAAGGACATTTCTGTTGTTTTGCTCATGTATACAACTGCAACAAAAAATGTAGATGTCAAACTGTTTTCTCACTAATATTTTGAAAAATAAATCAATCTGCAGACATTTTGTGAACAAACAATAACCTTTAATTGTAAAAAGATAAGAGTGTTTACATGTCCTGGCAATTTATAACAGAAAACAAAAGAATTAAAGCAGGAAAAACTAAACGTTTTACAAGATCCAATTACAAAAAAAAAAAAGTATAACTTGCGTCAAATAGGGATTCACAGATCACAAAACAAAAATCTGACGGTTACTTCGATGAGCCCCCCCCCCCCCCCCCCCAAATGGAGCTTTTATTATTAATATGAACAGTAATTAAAAAAGAAAAAGGTGACAATAAAAACATAATTACAAGTTTCAGAGGCCTGTGTCTTTAGCTGCAGTGACGATGACTGAAATGACTCGGTGACAGTTGTTGGGAAATCACTTCAGACCTCTACGCTGAGAGGTCACTGCTGTTAAAACGGTCTTGGTCATAAACTTCTGCAACAACTTTACGACCTCCGAACCAGCGGTCATTGAGGGCCTGGATCGCTTTGTTCATCTCCGAGGCTGCAGAAAACTCTACAAAGATTTTGACTATGATATCTGCATCTTCTTCCTCTCCTTGCTTCTCTTGGTATATGATGACTCGGTTGACAGTGCCAAACTTCCCACACTCCTCCGTCACCTCGCCCTCCAGGTCGTCGTCAATGTCCTCTGGTCCAACCATGTTCCGAAGTACCATAACTGTGGACTGAGGTAAAGCAGGACAAGAAGTATGAGTACAAAATGAGTTTCACGATAAGAATAAGAGTTTTTATTAACCCAAGAATATGTCACCTCTGACTTTCTTAGTAACTTCTGCATCACCATATGTCTGGCACTGCTGCCCGAAATGCTCATGTGCTCCTGGTCGCTTAGCATCTCCTGCCCTGTACCATCCTGAAGGGTCTCCTCTTTCTCTTCCTTCTTTTCTAGTTGGTTGGCGCCACCACTTTGGTTAGACAGGACTGGTGGTGACGCGAGCACCGGGTTTACTAGACCAACTTGGGGGATGACAGGTATGGGAGGACGCACTGGGGTCACACCTGTTTAAGGGAGGCAGAGTCACTGAAACTACACCAACATACTCACTTTGAGAAAGTTCAAGTAGTTTTAATATTTGTGAACTGATAAAGAGTAAGAAGATAAAGTAAGAAGATAAAGCCAATCAATACAACATGCTGAGTACATTAACAGAGGAAATATTTAGTAGTAGTAGTTCTTTCTACTGCCATTTCTGCTGTGAAGTGGTTAATTTCTCCTATTGTTTAAGAGTAAACTGCAGCTAGGCATGACACGATAACAAATTTTGCTGGGCGATTAATTTTCTCAGAAATTACTGCGATAAACGATAATATTGTTTGAAATTTTTACAATAATTAGTCATTATTGTCAAATTTAAGAAGAAATGTTGGTTATCTTTTGAGTGTAGTACCTTTTTTGACCACTGGATGGCAGTATAAGACTGAACCGAAGGATGGCTAGTGAGGGATTGAGCAGTGTGTCTCTAAGAATAATGGGAGGCCCCTTGATGTGACATGGCCCGTCACTAGTTCCAGTTTTTCCGTTCTAAAAATGGCGGACAGTCGGTGTGGTTTGAGCTCTTTAGCATAGCATTGTTCACACAAAGCTTTTAATTAAAAAATTGGAAAAAAATAAATAAATCAGTAAACAAGTTCTCAGCGTCTTTTTGCTGAGAAATCAACTTTTTAGACGAAAGGCACGAGTTTCAACAGTGAAGTTTTGGACCTTTGAAAGACGGAGGTCTTTTTCCCTGAGGGCGGGTTGTTAGCTTAGCTCGTAGCTTAGCTTCTCATCTTAGCTGCTTTTAACGATCTAAAAAAGAAAAAAAACAACAACACTATTTTGGACGGTTAAAATGGATTTTAAAGAGAAAAGATAAAGGGAGGGGTCAGAGAACAACACCGGAGTTGAGCCTTTTGTCATCCAGTGTTTTCAGTAGAAAGAGACACAAAGAAATGATAACGCCGATAAATGAAAATGAGGTTGATAATTTTCATTTATCATGCGATCAATTGATTTATCGTGACAGACCGAACTGCAGTTTGTTTACTGCACGTTATTCTGTAATCATGCTGACGGCACAACTTGCTTGCTTCATTACCAGTGCACAGGCTGTTCATTTGACAGCCTTAATGGCAGAAGTTATAAAATACATCCACCAAATTTACCAAAACACTCGTTCTTGCAACCGATAGCACACCAGCCTCCAGCGGCTTAAGAGAAGGAAGCGATACTGTTGATCCCTAATGGGGAAATTATTCTCTGCATTTTTCCCATCACACATGTGGGCTGCCCACTAAGGCGTCAGGGGAGCAGCTGGAAGGTCAAGGACCTTGCTCAAGGGCCAATGGTGGGGCAAATGAGGGTGGAATACAATCAAAAGCAGGAGCCAGTGTGTTCTTTCATAAGACGGTTTCATAAAATGGCCACACAGACCAGTCTGTCTTTACGCTCCCTATGTCTGTTCATAAATCACAGATGAAGTTGCTACTTCCCGCTCAGGTGCGAGTTTTCAGGGATGAAGCAGAGTGGAACCAAAAGAGGCGTGCAGCAGCAATCAGCTGCGATGTTGTGGAGCGCGACACATTGAATGCGTGTTGGAAGTCTTCCTCGTTTTATTTACAAAATGTAATGAATTGATTCACTTTAGTGATCCTCATTGTCCACCAGCTATGTTGTGTGGTTTGGAGACAGTGGCATTGACAAAAAGACAGGAGAAAGAACTGGAAGTGGCAGAAATGAAGATGTTGAGGTTCTCCTTAGGAGTGACAAGGATAAGAATAGGAATGAGATCATCAGAGGTACAGCACAGGTTGAACAACTGGGAGATAAAGTTTGAAAAACCAGACTGAGATGGTTTGGACATGTCCAGAGGAGGGACAGTGGGTATACTGGTAGAAGCATGTTAGAAATACGTCATCATTGATATTCCCTCAGCAGAGGTGGGTGAGGTGGCCGACCCTCTCTCCCCCCCCCCCCAGTGTCTTCTGAATGGACCAAGGTGGCCAGAAGACATCTTGAGACCTGGACTGAGGCGTTTTGTGAACCACAATGTAAGGTCAAACAGAAGCAGGGTGGACTGGACACTGTAGAGCCTAAGATCTACTAAAGTAGTGGAAAAACAAAAACACCTGCTTCCCTCTGTGTGCGCTACAAGCAGTTTCAGAGTTTCCTGCACAGACCTAAAAATGCTGATAGGTTTGTAGACAGGTTTCTAAAAAATAACTTGGAGGTGACATATTGTGTCACTTTGACCCTTTTGTTCAGGCTGTTGCCTAGTTATTCGTTCAAATAACCTTGTTCTTCGATTAGATAGTTATGACAAAAACAATACTTGCCTGTTGCATCTATATTCTAAAAAAACAAAGTTTAGGATATATTAAAAATTCTGAAAATTGTCCTTAAATAAGAGCATTAAGACAACATTAATGGCATTCCTAGGCACAGTATCACTGTAAAACACTATTATTTGACAAAGGCTTAGTAATGCTTGGTTTTCATATTGCCCAACCCTAACACTCCGGTGTTATGCAAGTAAAACTTACCACCAAACTGGATTAAAATGCTATTAAAAGAGCACATTTTATTTATTTTATTGGACTAAAACAAAACAAAAAACATATTTGCATAAGTATTAATCATGGCATTTCAAAGCTGCCATTAAATTCAGCACATTTGTAATTAACATCTGTTCAAGATGGACAAGAGAATTACAATTCATCAAACTCTACAACGTCAGGTACACACCTGTGATTACACCTGGTGCCTGGGCAGCCATTACGGCTTGCGGTAATCCCATCTGCTGACTGAGAAGTTGTGGCGCAGCCAACGCCCCTAAGACTGATGCGCCAGCTACAGCCTCCTTAAGAGAGGGAGGGGCCGAAGACATTAGGCAAGGGAAACACACAGAACACAGCACAAAGCAACACAGTCAACAATCACAGCAAAGAGTGCGCTCAGCCTCTTCTCAAAACCCAGGTGACATGGGGTTAGTAGCACAATATGCATTAGCACGTTCATATGTAGCAGAGATCAAATATTCTATTTTATACATGAATCACAGCGCAAAAGCAGCTTATTCACAGTAAAAAAAAAACTACTAAATTGACTTTAGCGGATATATAGTGAACAAAATTTAAATGTTTAGCTCTTACACAATACAGGTCCTTCTAAAAAAATTAGCATATTGTGATAAAGGTCATTATTTTCCATAATGTAATGATAAAAATGAAACTTTCATATATTTCAGATTCATTGCACACCAACTGAAATATTTCAGGTCTTTAATTGTTTTAATACTGATGATTATGACATACAGCTCATGAAAACCCAAAATGCCTGTCCCAAAAAATTAGCATATTTCATCCCACCAATGAAAGACAAGTGTTTTTAATACAAAAAACGCCAACCTTCATATAATCATGTTCAGTTATGCACTCAATACTTGGTCGGGAATCCTTTTGCATGAATGACTGCTTCAATGCGGCGTGGCATGGAGGCAATCAGCCTGTGGCACTGCTGAGGTGTTATGGAGGCCCAGGATGCTTCGATAGCGGCCTTAAGCTCATCCAGAGTGTTGGGTCTTGCGTCTCTCAACTTTCTCTTCACAATATCCCACAGGTTCTCTATGGGGTTCAGGTCAGGAGAGTTGGCAGGCCAATTGAGCACAGTAATACCATGGTCAGTAAACCATTTACCAGTGGTTTTGGCACTGTGAGCAGGTGCCAGGTCGTGCTGAAAAATGAAATCTTCATCTCCATAAAGCTTTTCAGCAGATGGAAGCATGAAGTGCTCCAAAATCTCCTGATAGCTAGCTGCATTGACCCTGCCCTTGATAAAACACAGTGGACCAACACCAGCAGATGACATGACACCCCAGACCATCACTGACTGTGGGTGCTTCACACTGGACTTCTGGCATCTCCTTCTCCCCAGTCTTCCTCCAGACTCTGGCACCTTGATTTCCGAATGACATGCAAAATTTGCTTTCATC